TTACCTGAATGCCTGCACCAATCTCCATGAACCCTGATCCGTATATCATGCCATATGAGGCAATCTCAATGGTGTATTTCATAAATTACCTCCATAAGCGGCCTCCGTAGTCTAGAGGTAACGTTCCCACGTCATGACTCGTAGTACGCGGGTTCAAATACCTGGCGGAGGTCGTCGAATTTTTAAGGGCGGAAAAATTCAGGGAACAAGTCCTCTGGGAGGGACTTTAAGCCGTGGGTCCCGTGTCGTAGCTTTACGGCACGTAAAAGAACCTCATATCTCCAAAGGAGGTCACTGAGCCAAATTAACGGACGTTTCCCGCCCAACAGCAGTCTCTAATACCTCTGGTAGATGGGGGAAGCATTATAGATACCTCTTAGCTAGTAGAGCCGGTCTCGCTGGCTGGGCGGGACTGATGGTAAGCACCAGTACCGGTAGGATATAGAGACTGATAGAGGGAAGCACAATGGACCAATACAGGTCTCAGTGCATGGGGAAACCCACGCTCTCCAATAACTAACTAACTAAATTACCTCCATCAGAAATACCAAAACTGCAGCCTCCCAAAATTGTTTTATTAGCATCATTACACACACATGCTATGGTTTTCTATCTACTTGTATCACATACTCAGAATTACAATGACAGGAAAGTAGGTGATCAGTTCTTCCCAGAATTTCTTATTTCTTAATCTAATAGCAGATGTGTGTTCAGCTTGTCAGTCCTCTTCAGCACTAGAAGTAGCACTAAAAATGGCTGACAAGATGCAATGCATCTGCTAGTAAACTTGAGGATGGCGGAAGGGCTGATGTGATATGTACTGATAGACATTTACAAAAAGCAGCCTTGATATTATAAAACATTACTCAGGCTGCAGGAAGAGCTTCATAATTGGGCGCTTCAATGTGTGTTACTAGGGTGTTTAGCTTATGGCCTTCTGAGATGTGATAATGCATATTGTGACACGTATCCATGTTTCAGAGTACTTGCTTCCTCCATCTTCAGGGTCTTGTCTACCGTGAAGATTCCTGTGACACACTGATGCCTACCAAAATATGAAGCATCACATCCCAGTAGACTGTAATATTAATATTCACTGCTGTCAGGATGACAAATCTCATATTATTATGATGATCAAACCAAGGTTATGAAGGGCTGTCATACAGCATTCATGGGAGATGCAAAATACAGATTTTTGCAAAAAACCTGAAGAGATGAGACCATTTGGGAAACCTAGGCACTAGATGGATTGATATTACAATAGATCTTAGAGAAACAGAGTGGGAGGGTGTACATTGGATCTGTATGGTTCAGGACAGAGACCAGTGCCAGTCTCTTGACAACATAGTAACGAACTGTTGCATCCCGCAAAATGCAGAGAATTTCTTGACTAGCTGAGCAACTGCTAGTTTCTCAAGGACTCTGCCCCATGAAATTACTCTGTTGGTCTAATCCCTTGCTATGTATGCATATACAATGATGAACTGCTCCATCTCTCAATCCAGGGGTAATGCCCTGGGGTTGATTCAGCCTCTAACACAAATGAGCACCAGGAATCTTCCTAGGGGTTAAGGGCAGCCAGAGCATAAAGCTAACCTCACAGCCATCTGTGAGCCAGTGGTCTAGAAAATGCAGGAGCCACGGCATCTCAGAACCCTATGGGCCTCCACGGCCTGTTACAGGGACAGCTTCACCTTACATACAACTGCAGTTGTGATTTGTAAGTCTATTTTAAAAGCACTGTCAGAATTTTGATAAATCGATTCTCTTTTAAAATTTGCATCTGACCTCATACTCAGCTTTCCTTTATGAATATTATTACTCCATAGCAGCATACTTCTACTGGCGCATTTTCTGGTCAGATGATTCCAGACTCAATCCAACAAAGTCACAAGTGCCTAGACTATCCTACAACAAAACCATTCAAATATGTAACAATCCAATTGTTTCCAGTTAAAAACTCTCATCTAGTGTTTTTCAGCCAAATGATATTGAAATTTGGGTTTTAATACAGGGAATTCATACGTAGACTGTCCTTCAAAAGCTGAACTACACCCAATTACCACAAGCTGTTTGAAGAGAGACTCAAATTCTACTTGTTAAATATGCCCAGTTATCACAGGAGGTTTGTAGTGGGACAGCAGTTGAGTGAACTGAGGTCCTTGAGACTTGATAAGATAATGCATACTCCTGTAGTGCAAATATTTATAATTTAATCTTAGCATGAGTTGTTGGGCAGCTCTCCGGTTTCCTAAAAGTACTTTGCTAATAGTATGAACCTGTAGTACACTTCTACATCTTTTCAGAGTTTCTACAGCTATTTTAAAAGATGACTAGTGGAATGTGAGAGCAGTTACCTTGTTGTCCAGTATGACATATTTTCCAAAATTCAGCCTTTGACTCATGTCTATGCCTTTTCCATGCATAAAAATGTTAGGAACCTTACACAGTCAGGGGGCATGTGGTAGTGTAGTTGGTTGAGGCACTATGCTACAAGCAGGAAGGTCGCGGGTTCAAGTACCGATGAGGTCATTGGATTTTTTTTCAATTGACCTGATCCTTCCAGCCACACTATGGCCCTGGGGTTGACTCAGCCTCTAACAGAAATGAGTACCAGGAATATTCTTGGGGGTAAAGGGTGGCCAGCGTGTAAGGCTGACAACCTTACCGCCATCTGTGAGTCAATTGTCTAGAAAATGTGGGAGCCTCGACATCTCACAACCCTATGGGCCTCCATGGCCTGTTACAGGGATTCCTTTACTTTACTTTCTTACTTTACCATACATAGTCAATGTTTTCAAATCTTGTCATTTGCAACAGAATGTGCAATAAGCCTGCTCGTATCAACTTTGACAGTGACTGCAGAGAGAGATAAACAGAAAGAGAGAGTGAATGTAGGAGGCGGTTACATACACGATGTGTCCAGGATCCGTTAGGACTAATTTTTTTTTTTAATTTTGCCCTTAAATGCCATCTGTTGGTGAGTTGTGACGTTAAGATTCTTGAAGTTTCAGCTGTGGTTGTCTATAATTTCAAAGTGCAAGCATTGCTGCATCATGTGTTCTGACCTTGAATGTAACAGTACTGTTCTGACGCTCGTAGGAAAATGGCAGCTGAACAGAGAGCCAACATCAAATTTTGTTTGAAGTTAGGCAAAACAGCTGGAGAAATGTATGAAATGATGAGATGTGTGTACAGTAGTGACTGTTTGAGTTGCTCGAATATTTTTCGATGGTACGCTGTATTTCGTGATGGCCAGGACACTGAAGACGCTCCACGTGCATCAAAGCTGAGAACAAGTCGCGGTGAAGAAAATGTGAAAGAAGTGACCGAAATCCTTGCACCAGACAGACGTGTTTCTGCAAGACTCATCAAGGAGCTTTTGGGAATACCAAAAAGTACTGCGCATCAAATGTTGACCAAGGATTTTGGCAAACGGAAGGTCTGTGCGTGGTTTGTCTGACTGTAAATTTCCATTACCCAAATAAGATACTGCAGCACAGTCCCAATGATAGGCAATAACCACAAAATAAGCAACTATACAACAGCCACTGCTAGATATTAGTTCTGCAAACAATGGCTGCTGCTAGGCAATGGTTGAGCAGCAATACTGTGAGAACCCCCAAAAGACATGAATGCAACAGTGACACAGCAACAGAGGATCACTGTTTTTTGTGTGGTCAGTGCCGAGAGGACGAGTCAGTCAATGGAGTTAGTAAGGGAGTAGTCTGAGGGCTCCCAGAGCCGTCAGAGTGTAAAACATAGTCATGAGTCCAATGGAACTCGGAACCAAGAATCACTGCGCTGGCAAGGACCACTAGCAATTTAGCAATCAGTCAGTCAGTCAGTCAGTCAGTCACTCAGTCAGCCAGTGGAGTGAGTGAGTGAGTTAGGGGACTGCTGCAATACAATCATTCTGAGCTGTTGCTGTTAGAAGTTGGTAGCTGAGGTCGGGATGACATTTCAGGAGCCCAAAGGAAGGGGAACATCCATCATTGAAAGCCACTACCAAGCAGCGACTAGTGAAGACATGGCTGTGGATACTTTGTGTGTGCGCGTGTGTGCGGGCACTGTATCAAAAAGCCCAATAAATCTGATCACCAATCCAAAACACGTCTATAACCACTCCATCATGTGAAGATATAACACCACAAAGATTTGTGCCTGTGGTGATTCTCTAGCTTCTCACTGCAACAGCCTGAGTTTGATCCAAGGTTAGGTCATGTGGGATCTGTGGTGGACAAAATATCACTGGAGCAGGATCTCATGAGTTACTTCAGTTTCCCCTGCCAATTCTTATTCCATCAACTGCTCTATATTCATTAATCATCCTATCACCAATGCTATGCAGTCTCAATACTGACAATGCCACTAAATAACAAAAGGAAAGGAAAGAAAACAGATGACCAATAGAACTGAAATGTCTGTAACAGGAAATTAGGCTTCATGACTTCTACCCAGAACTCCTTGTATGCCTTACTGAACTCCAATCAAAATAAACCTTGGCGTCCAGTAGTGGAATATTTGCTTTCTGTCTACAAAATATGACATTATTCCCTGTAAGTCAATGTATCATCTTGCCTGTCATTCTCTGTGAAAAGGCATGTGACAAGACACATAATGCCCTAGAAAGAACTGCATGACCTTACACAATATAACTACAGACATTTCACATGCATTTAACTGATTGACTTGATGCAGGCAGATGAAAGACAGATATACTACAGCAAAATCAGGAGACTAAATCCTGAATTCCTAATTACTACAACTGCATGACAATGTCCATAGTTTTATATTTTGAACTGACAGTCAAGAACTCACTGGTATGTCTCATGTTGATTTCCATAATCCTAATCCCAAACATCACCATAGTTATGGCTAATGTTTCCTTCATCCAAATCAACATCTTCTGGCTGTACACTGGAGATATTCCCTATAAAGGACAATGCCCTGGCATTTCATTAAAGGAAAAAAGCACTAAACAATGTAAAACTTCCTACCTTCTGGACAGCTACTCCCAGGATCCACAGACGAACGCCGACTTTCTGGCGTAGCCTTGTTGTTGCCATCAACTTCCACAGCAACAGCTCTGTCATAAGTCACAGTAGCGGCAGCATTGGCAGGTGCATTAGCAGTATTATCTCTGTGATCAGGTCCTCCTTCATATCTCAAGAGATGCTGAGATGCTGACGAGCTTGGGGGATAAACTTTCTCGTCAGACTTCAGCTCAGGTTCCTGAGGTTGTTGTGGCTGTGAAACAGGACGGTATGCCAAGGATATTGGGGAGTGTTTTTCAGGTTCAGGGACAGTACGCGACTTGCTGCCATCTCGCAAAACTGAGGCACGAACAGCAGAGTCTTGAACAGTTTCGGAAGAACTGCGGTGATGCCTTTTTCTAGATGATGCATCATAATGAGATGGGGGTGGCGCTGAGGCAGGTACGCGTTGTTCATATGCTGGACGGTAATGGGGAGGGTGCATGTATGGAGACATGACTGGAGAGTATGACGTGGATGAGGTAGATGGATGATGTTGGAGGAGTTGATCACCTGAGCCTCCATCCAAGGTTTCCTTTGTACCACTGTTACTGTTACTATTTATCTTGGCTTGTTTACGACCTGTAGGCGAGTCTAGTTGGCTGTCCTGGCCCACTGAGCTGATATGCTGCCCTTGCACCACAGCAAGCTTCTCATGCTCTACTGACAAGCCTTTAACCTAGTGAAGGTAAACAGTGCTAATCAGAAAACAATGCGAATATCACCACTGTTACATATTTATTTTAAATACTAAAATTGTGGTACACATCATCTATCAAAGCAATGAAAGTCATGAGCAACGAGGCTCAGAAGATTAACTGCAAATCTGCCAATGTGACATCCTCCAAGCGCTCTCATTAATGTGCACCACCAATCACTAATAACTCCACAGTCATGGGTTAGCATGTGTAAAAAAAGCTAAACCTATCCCTGTAACAGGCCTCACAGGACCATAAGGTTGTGGGACGTTTAGGGTCCCACATTATCTAGACAATCGGCTCAAAGATAGCAGTAAGACTGTAAGTCTTACGCACCGGCTGCATTTTACGCCCAGGAAAACTCTTGGTACTCATTTCTGTTAGAGGCTGAGTCGACCCCAGGGCCATAGTGAGGCTGGAAGGATGAGGTCAATAGAAAAAATCCAATGACCTTCCTGCTTGTAGCATAGTACCTCAACAAACTACGCTACTGCTTGCCCCCTGAGTTAGTATACGTACAACCAAAAATATAACTATTTATACACGGTTCTGAACCAATCTAAGTTCCTACCTGCAAGCATTCTGCAGCCTTCAGGAAACTAGGGAGGCTATCCTGAGAGACATGGACTTCTCCTTTGTACATGAATTCTAATAAGGCGGACATGTTAGATGATGATGTGCCATCCAAAATGACCAGCACACTTGAGCATAGTGGTGCTGTTTGAAACATATCCTGGAAGTGTTTGCTACATGCTGCCAGAATAAGTTTGTGGGCCTTGAATGTCACACCTAGAATGCAGAATCCATAAGCATTATTATATACACTTACTACAAAAATGAAAGAATATCTTCAGGATACTGAAAATGAAATGTCAATTGTAACATACATAATTTACCTTCACAGAATAATGTGACATCTGTTAAACTCTCTGATTTGAATAAATTGCCAAATGCGGTTGCCAAATTGCTGCCAAAACTGTTCCACTTAAGACAAAACTGCTGCTGTGAATCCATTCCAGATGTTGATTGGAATGTATTCGCTGAAAAAGTTACATGAAAGTCAATTCAACTGTGCATTGCAAATTAAACAACAAACATTTCACAAGTACAAAAATGTGATCAATGAACTTCACACAACCAGTGCAAATCCCTTCATGGTCAAATTATTACAAGACCTTCATCAATGATTAACAGATGAACACGAGTTCCTTCTGTTTCTGACACATGACTTAACGCCTTCATAGGTGTCTTATTTTATAACTGCAAGCTACGTTACATGTTCTTAACATCTCCCATCAATGTCTCTCGAACGAAATCGGGAGGCCTAGAACTATATTTAACCAGATGCAGTGAATGCACTTATATGTGTGTGTGTGTGTGTGTGTGTGTGTGTGTGTGTGTGTATATATATATATATATATACATACACATATATAATTCCACAAATCAAACCATAAATATGATACCAAAACCGAATTTAAGCAACAGAATGACATCAATACAATAATGAATTCGTCAATACAAAAACCTACGTAAGAATCCTCATAAAGCACCGCTCAAGGTAAGCTCTGCGCCAAATCATTCGCATGCAACCATCTTGACACGATTCATGCATCACCAATGTAACAGCCCATGTCCGCTCTACGCAGAGTCCGGCAAATTTCGCGAATGCGCCATTAATTAGTATACCAATGCTTTAAATTACATTTCATACGCTACTATAATAATTGTATCCCTAAAGTTTACATAAAGAGCATTATAATAATACCTGAGATAGGTCCGTTTGCTATTTATAAATAACTTAATTTCTCTAACCCGTGCATAAAAAGAAATGTTGGTGTAGGCTACTGCCGGAAACAGTTTGGCATGTGTTATGAAAAATAATGAATCCACTTTGCAAAATAACAACAGAGTTTCGACTCCATTTCACCGTTTCTATTATAAACCCTACAGTACGTAATGTTACAGCTATTATGTGTATGTATCTGTTCGACAAGTACGAGCCCCTTAGGTAAAAACAGAATTTGAAAACGTTCAAAAACGCTTTGCTTCCAACGTTTGATTCAGATATTTTTCATATCTCCCCTGGCGGACAAATTTCTAAATACTGTTTCTGCATTAAGTTCCTCCAGGCATTCTAGGTCCTAGTTTGAGAATTGGTCACAGTTTGGAATTTTCTGTATTTACGTGTATAAAAATACTTCAAGGTGTATCTACAAAATGATCAATATAGTTTCCAAATCGGGGAACTTGGCACCATATCTGAAAGCAACGACACAGACTGTTGCATCGCAGATAAAACAGCTGAGTCCTGCTGTTCCAGCATCCCTGAAGATAGTAGTTCCACCAGTTCAAGAATTGCACACAAACTATTCTTTGAGTAACTCATTACCTTCTGGTAGAGTACGTGTACTCTCGGGTCCAGGAGGTACGTACTGAATTTGTTTTACAAATAAATATGCACGATTAAGACTAAGAGTTTTACCTTAAATGTTTATCTTCATTGACTTCTTAGGTTGGTTACAGTTTTCAGGTGTAAAGAATACATTATGTTGACACTTTTAAGCTATAATTAACTCTTTGTAATTAAATACAGGCTTAATGTATTGGAGATTTTATGTGTAAAATGTAAGGAAGAAATTAATGTGGACATCTCCAGGTCAAAGGAATTTCATTTAATATTTAAACTGCACTCTGTATTGTTTTATGTTACAAACGTGACTTACTTGACGTTAACAAAAGGGTATGTTTCATTTCAGTGACAACACAAGTAAGATTTGCCCACACGGATATTCAGATTCCAGATTTTTCTGCATACAGAAGGAAAGATGTACAAGATGGTACTGCAGTCAGTAGGAGAAGTGAAGATTCACGTAAATCCTTCACATATCTGGTTGTTGGAGGTTTGTTTAGTGAAATTTTTTGCTTCAGCTTTAGTGCTGTGAAAAATCAGTTGTAGAATTACACATTATGAAGGATAATCATGAATAAGAATCAGAGATGTGATATTAGTGTTACACTTTAAGTTTAGATTCATGGATGTGTCACAAACCTTTCCTTAGTTCAGCACTCACCCTCTTCAGGAGAGGATTCTTATTTTTTCTGAAAACTTTTTTCTTGGTTTCTCCTCTTCTAACTCCTGTTCGTTTTTCATTTTTTCAACACCAGTACTTTGTTGCTAATATTAATAAATAATACAATTTCATGAAGTCTTGCCAGTCATTTAAAAACTTTGTTTTTTTTGTTGTTGTAGTAATGTGATTGGAAATGTATAATATGCTCACATAAAAGAATTCAGCTGTTCACAGACATCTTGTGACTACAGTTTTTAGTTCAGATGCCAGTGAAAGTATGTGTTGTCACCATCTCTCCAAATTAAAATTTGTTTATTTAGCAACGCTTTATGAACTGCATAGATTTTATACAAGAAGCCTGCTACAACTTGTGTGGCTGATCCAGTTGATCACTGCACCCTTTGGACCACCCAGACCACAGCCAATGTTGGAAATGCTCCATGTTTTTCCATACTCATTTCTGTCACCTTCATAAAGTGTTAATATTCATGAGTTGAGGTTCCTTTTTAAAAAGAGAGCAAACTTGAAATTTGAAACCCCAGAAGAAGTGTGTGTTAGAATCTTTTTCACATGGGTGGTGTACATGAATGCTAATTTCTATGTGTAAGTCTGACAAGAAGTGACGCAACTCATTGGTTGTTTAGTATAGTAGCAAAAATGTGAAGTTCCAGTTGATGAGCACATAAGTGATAAGCTCATTTTATGGTAGTTCTTTGATGACTTACTGGGTAGATATTGAAGAGAAATTATAAAGTTTATAGGCTATTGGCATATCAACTGAGCCAGAAATCCATATGCATGCAGTAAAGTTTATGTGAGGAGGCTTGTCCCTCCTGCTGGACTGGCTGAATGCTTTGCAGCAGGCTGTAATGTAATCTCCCTATATAATCAAATGGCAAGTGTCATTCCATGTAAAATTGGCAGACATTTCTGTCTCATTTATTTTCATCATATTAAGGATTGCAGTGAGATGTCATTCATTCCTAACCTAACCCCAAAAATATCAGCATCTCAATTAAGATTCTGGTTCATAATGTGTGTTGTATAATTCCAATGTAGCAGAGGTCATTGTGACTGCAGGAACATATAATGAGACTAATGTCTTGGAAGGAGGTTGATATAATTAACTCCATCATCATACTCCCCTGTCATGCCTTCATATATGCACCTTCCTTTTGCTGCGCACCACCCATGTGACCAGTAATAGACACGAAAGCTATCCAGCCAAAGTGCTGGATTGCCAGGTTCAATTCCCAGCAGGGGCAAGAGATTCTTCCCTTCTCCACAACGTTCAGACCTGCTCTGAGGCCCACTTAGCCTCCTCTCCAATGAATACAGGGGCTAAAACATGTAGGGACATGAAGTTGACAACACAGCTCCATCTGGTGCAGAGGTCAAGAATGGTGGAGCTATATCTCCGCTCCCCCATATGTCTCTGTGGCGTGGTGCTCAATTAAGCATGGGGACAACTTTACCTTATCCAGCCAATGTGAAGTTAGTTTAAATACATTATCTGTTAATAGAGCTAATTTAGTTATATTTTGTGTGAATTCTGCATGGAGGTGTCGTACTATGGATTTTGAAAATGAGCCGTGCTGGCATAATGGAAGTGTAAGTGAACTAGTGTTACAGTAAGCTATAAAATACGCTGCAAGGGCAGAAGGAAACTGTCAGAACTTGTGTAAATGTCAGCTACCAGGTTACAGTACATGAACAAAGTGTCTCTAAGCATTTGGATGAGGAAACCAGTTGTGAGGCCACAGTACTTAAAATGAAAGTAGTGATACCTGACCTGAAAGAAAGTCTGGAATCTTTTGGATATTGACACAGGAATGCTTCCTTTAGGTACAGTAATGAACTGCCATATACCTATGAGTGAAAAAATATTTTCAGCAGTTGTAGAAAGCTATTTGTCGAACTTGATATCGCTTTAGTGCCATCCTGTGAACTATGGTATGCAGGTTTCATTTTTTTTCCAATAGTGAATTTTGTCTTATGCTTTTATAAGTGTCATTCTTCCCTGAAACCTGAAAGCATACTCCTGGTTAACCATTTCATATTGAAGCCAGAAAGTAGACAAGGAACTGCATACCGTTGGGTATGTTGTATGACAGGAGGATCTGTGTATCTATGTAGTAATCTCAGGTTTTTCTTGCTTATTTTCATCAGTGGACATGCTTGTAATGGAGGTACATAAAGCTGCCAGCTGATCTTATATTTTCTTAGGTGGGGCTGTTGTTGGAGCATATGCAGCGAAAACCTTGGTGGGTGAGTTTGTAAGTTCAATGAGTGCATCTGCGGATGTTCTTGCACTAGCTAAGATTGAGATCAAACTGGGTGATATACCTGAAGGCAAGAGCGTCACCTTCAAATGGCGAGGCAAACCCTTGTTTATCAGACACAGGTAAAGGTTTATACAGTCGAGCCCCCAATTACTCTTGATTTAAGGTTTTCCCTTCTTTAACATTTAATTTCAGTAATCTTAATGTTAAATTTCCTGCATTTAAGGTAACATGTTTGTAAAGTCCTGTCAGTTCTCTTGTTACACTTTCTTCAGGCAGTTCAAAGTTTCACACTTAGAGACAGTGTCATGTAACTTCAAACAAGGCCACACATTCCTGCAACCAACCCCCTTGTTTGAAGTTACATGACACTTGCTATAAAAGCAGCTGTTTAGTTTTATGAACATTTAAACCTACACAGGGCCAATGATGTAACTGAGTGAATATGCTAATGTTCCTACACGGTTCATTCTTGGCCAGAATAGTGCACCTATAATATAAATGGACACAGAACTTCTTAATTGTATACTTATTCTGTTATGCATCACCTAATAAATGCATGGCAGTTCTTGCACAAGCACATTGGCTGCGCATTCTGAGGCAAGGGCTGTCTTCACCCACTTGAACACTGGGATCATGGGTTTGAATCCCACTCAAGGCATAGATGTTTGTGTTGTTCTGCGTGCAGGTAGCGGCCTTGCGACAGGCTGATCCCCCATCCAAGGAGTCATACCGACTGTATAGACCAAGAAACTGAAAAAGTGGCCAAGGCCCAACAAAGGGCTGTAGAGTCATAGATAGATAGTTCCTGCATGAAAACATAGCTTGGTGATTTGGTCATTGCCTCTGTAAAATTAAAAAATATGATTTTTGTTACTTGCAAAGTGATTTGTTGCATTCCAGATTCATGAAAATATACTGCATTTTTCCCATTAGTTTAGCAAATGGTAGTACTACAGAACTTAAATCTATGTAAAAGTATATTGAAATAATTATTAGTAGTGTTGTATAGTGCCCTACTGGAAATGTGACTTCAAACTGTTGTTCAGGACACCAAGTGAAATTCAAACAGAAAGAAATGTTGATGTGCAGTCTCTTCGTGATCCTCAACATGATGCTGACAGAGTTCAAGATGCTGAATGGCTGGTGATCATTGGTGTGTGCACTCACCTGGGCTGTGTACCTATTGCAAATGCAGGTACGGTTCACCCTTTGGCTTTGGTATTTATTTCGCTTGTAAATTGGTTTGTCAAGTCCCTGAATTACATTTCAGTGAAATGGGTATGTGCAGTATTAAAAGTTTATGAAAAATTGTTTTTCGGTCCCTGGCTCAAATCTTGGCTGGGACACCAACTATTCTGAGAGAAATTTTTCTGGGTTTTCTTGGTTCTTCAAGACAAATGCTGGAGTAGTAGTCACTATCCAATAATTTGATGTTATAAACTATATACAATACAAGGAGGGTGAGATTAGTGAGGCATGTAGCATGCATGGGAAACTGAGAAATGCATAAACATTTTCGTTGAAAAAACTGAAGGGAAAGGATCACTTGACAGGATTAGACATGAATTGGAGAATAACCTTAAATGTCTCTTAAAACTGAGGGTGTGTAGTGGATTTGACTCAGGATAGGGTCCAGTATAATAGGCTCTGGTGAACGTAATAAAGAACTTGTATGTTCCATGAAGAATGGGAAAGTTATTCATTAACTGAGCGATTACAGGTTTTGAAAGGTTTCTCCTCCATGGATTTATTGGAACTACAGGAAATAAATGCAGCAATATTTGTTGTAAAAAGGTGCATTGATTTTAATTTTGGGACATTTGAATAAACTTGGGAACCACAAGAAGTGGCTCAAGGTCTGCTTGCAAGGAAGGCTGCTTAGGAGGTAAATCTGGAGCGCATTCACATTAATCTCATAATTCATGGTGAGCTTGTTGATAATGTCTGTTTTTGTGCAGGTGATTTTGGTGGTTATTACTGTCCATGTCATGGCTCACATTATGATGCATCTGGCCGCATACGAAGAGGACCTGCACCTCTTAACCTTGAAGTTCCAAATTATGAGTTCCCTGGTGATGGAACCTTAATTGTAGGATAAATGTAGATACAGTTTAAATAGCTGTCTAGCAGACAGAATTTTTTAAGAATGTTGTGTTCCCTTATCCAATCACTGTTAAGTATTATGTATGATTATATGGCTGACATCGGTTGGTGTGACATTTTTACCAACAGTGTTGAAGGATGTATGTATATTTAAAGTGAATGTAAAAGGCATCTCTCTGTAAGTAAATCTGTACAGTATATTATAAAATTAAATAGACCATACCATGAGTTTGTTGTACATTGATTACATACATTCGGCAGCCATTGCTGTTTGCAGTACTAATTTCTTGCACTGTAGAACTGCATAGTGTCTTCTGCTGTAACAAATAGTTCAACTGTTTAGTAAGTTATTTGCTAATTATACTGTTTGTAAAGTCAGTTGCACCAAAACATATTATGAAAATCAGAATAAAAAGAATAATTTCTGGAAAGAAAGTTCTGTAAATGCTGAAGTGCAATGTAAATAAAATCTAAAAGTTTGTGATGATGGTACATTAATGCAAATATTATGTTTTTAGACATCATCCATCACACTGTTTTTATTTGAAACACAGCATTTCAAAGACTAGATTCTGTCTCTGTCCTCAGGTAAAACCTGCTCAGTTTTGCCCAATCAATAAATGTAGTCCCAGCTCCAGACATCTTCACTAACACAGGATGGGGTATACAAGCAAGAATTAAGACAAAACATTAAAACTCCACATGTAAGAGGCCTGGCACCAGAGAACTATCAGAATAGAAGTCATCAGTGGAGAGGGAAATTCTCTGTATGGTTCCAGCATAAAGAAGACAAATTTTCCCACCCAATGTACACTGGATGGAGTTGTAGTTTTTTTTTCTTCTACTGTGATAATGTGAGTCCAGATGGTAGAGATGTCCATGTTGGGTTTACTTACTGACCTAGTGTCAGGTTATATTTGTTCTCCTTGATGCGTACCTCTGAAGTGCTGCTCGTTCTGCCAATATAACATCTGCCACAGTATCATGGGATATTGTATAAACACTGCTTTGTCTGCTGGGCTTCTGTAACTGGTCCAGATTTCATCAGTATTTCATAGAATGTATGTATGAAGATGGTCCTGACATTGGAATCGTTTCCAATTTGTCTGACATAAGGTCTGCTTGAAAAATCAAAATTAGCTCAACATGTACAAAGAAGACCACAAAATACGGTGGAATGAAGCAAAGGTGTTGCAGATTGAATCAGACCACATACAAGGAATCAACCCACATGTCTCTGATGGTCTATCCAATCAGTTAACCCAGCTTGAACATCTCTCCCACCTGGACACTTGTTATCACAGTAGAAGTAAAAAAGCCACAACTCTGTCCAGTGTATATTGAATGGGAAAATTTGTGTTTTTTGTGCTGGTATCATACAGAGAATTTATCTCACCAGTGATGACTTCTGTTATGATAGTTCCGTGGTACTAGGCCTCATACATGCAGAGTTTTTAATGTTTTAATTTTTGTCTTAACTCTCACAAATGGTTTGTGCTGTGCTTGGCTTATACCCCATCTTGTGTTGGTGCAGGTGTCCGGAGATAGGGACTAGCTCTATCAATTGAGCCCAACTGAGTAATTTTATCTCAAGATGGAGACAGAATCCAGTCTCTGAAACATTGTGTTTTAAATAGAAACAGGATGATGACTAACGTCCAGAAACATATTTGTAGAAAGTGGGATGTAATCCCTTCCCTGTGTCTTCTAGCACTGAATAACCATTTTTATTCTTTAATTTGTTATAGTTCGTAAAAAGTGAATGTGAGTTGAATGTTACTGACATTTCCTTCCCCATGTGCTTATAATTAATCTATCAACAGTAGAGGATTTAAATAACCTAATGATACTAGGCGCTTTAAATTTGCATGAATGAATCAGTGACCTGTCTCCTCCTGGTTAACCATATACAAGTAAAATACTATGTGTTGAAACAGAGACATGGGTGCAAGAAATTTTATGAGTTAGTCCTCTACATATGTTCCCTGCAAGGCCACACATTTTTCTCAATTATGCTTTAGCTGCTGGATTCCTTGATCATAGAAGGTCTCATTTTGACTGTTTAGGAAGTCCTCCACTGCAGAAATGACATTGTCATCATGGAATCACTTATCACAGAGTGGCTTCTTTAGCTGTGGAAAGCGGAAGAAGTTACTTGATGCCAGGTCGGGTGAATTTGGTAGATGGGGGAGAATTTCATATCCCAAACTGGCAGCAAAAGTCATAGCATGAGCTGGTGCACTGTCATGAAGAAGTCACACGCCTTTTCCTAGCATTCCACATCACTTTTTCTTCATTTCCTCCCATAATTTTCTTAGAGAAGGTTATGGTAGTACTTGCCAGTGATGGTGATGCCCTTTTACACCAGTTGGTCATGATGACGGCTGAGATTTGGCCTTCTTTGGTGGCAGTGAGTCTGCATGTTTCCACTTCTTACTCATTTCCTTTGTTTCAGGGTCATAATGATAGACCCAGCATTCATCCACCATGCTGAGGCGATCGAAAAATTCCACCTTTTCGTCTTGACACAACTGCGAAAGTTCCCTTGCCACATCCATCCATTGCTGTTTTTGAACTGGTGTCAACAGTCATGGCACCCAACACGCAGCGACCTTTGTCATGTGTAACTCGTCATGATGTTGAAAACCGACCCATGGCCAATGCGGACTTCATGAATAATAGCTTCAATAGTTAATGCACCTATCAGATAGGATCAAAGCTTCGACCTATGCCACAATTCCCCATTCCTCAGTGAGAGATGGTCTTCCACTTCAAGGATTGTGTGTCCACAATGAATGCACCTCTTCCACCAGACCAATGTGTCATATGATGGTACGCCTTCCCGATACACAGCGTGAGTCTCCACTTTCTCAACCATCACCATTTTGCTTCTGCCCCTCTAGTGGTTCCCTCTGTCCACTTGGCACTGGAAAATTTGATTGTTCAGCAAACTCAGGACATGGGCTATCTCCTGTATAGAACGATATTTTGGTATTATGATTTTCTCATGGTGATAATTAAAACATTACTACTTCCTCATGTAATGAACTGCTATTTCATCCATAACTCCTAAATATATACACAAATAAAAGGCACAAAATTAATAAGTCTCTGTCAATTTTTCAACTGTTTCACTAATTGGATTACAATTACATAGCATAGGCTGAATATACAGTGTTTTCTACAGTAATCACAGTGAAATAAATCAATAACACCTATGGTGAGTCAACCAAATTTAGAAGCATATAGATTTTAATGTATGATATGTTCTCTTACATTACTAGATTTCTTTCCTCAGTCTTCAACTAACTATTCAAGATTTACTTACAGCTGGCACTCATGCTAGTATGTTATATTGTTTCATTGTCATGTAGGAGTCGGGTACATTTGGGCACAACAAATGTGGTGGTGATGGTCATGACTCAGTTCTGTCTGAATTCATTTTAAATTATGTCTCTGTTATGCTGTATTTGCTACACAGTATGCAGTATCAATTCCATTGTTATGTCACCGCGGGAGGCGACGGAGTGTTTACCCAGTGTTTTGTAATAATGGAAGTGGTGGGGGTATGTGACGTCACTCATGAGACCGCAGTGTTCACGTGACCCCTACTTCCCATTGTGCCATCCACATCACACTATGTATGGTACTGAAGGTAAGGGCTGGGCCATAGCTCAAGCGGTTAGTCGTTGGCTTCCCACCACGGCAGCCCACGTTTCATCCCGGGTCTGGTCAAGTGGGATTTGTGGTGGACAAAGTGGTGCTGGGGTAGGTTTTCTCCAAGTACTTCGGTTTCCCCTGCCGATCTTCAGTCCACCAATTGCTCCACAATCACCCTCACTTATCATCTGGGGCTGGTACAATAGGCCAGAAGTGGCTGCAGTACAAGGGACTTAGTCCCACCCCACTAGCAGAAAAAAAAAAGGTAAAATAATGGAAAAAGATAGCGTTAAAGTGTCACCAGTCTTAGGCCAAGGGAATGCAACAGTTCAGTTAGTCTACTTGGACAGTAAAACATGTGTAAATGTGTGCTTGGACCATGTTTCACAGATGAGAATGTTGGCCATTAATGTTTCTTTCTTCTTGTGATGGGCCACACAGATTGCATAGAAAAATATGCATCTAACAATTCTTCTATTGTTGCATGTGTATTTGTTGCTGCAGGAATGCTTTTAGTGAGCCATTACCTAACATTGATAGGAAGATACACAATCTCACACAGACAGCAAGGTGATCTCATAGACATACTTTTACTCATCTCCTGGGGTATTATTCCATATAGACTTGTAGACTATGTGCTGTCACATCCCAAAAGATAGCACTCTTCATAGTAGTAGCAGTGAGAGCCTCAGAGTGTAGATATTTAATTATGTTTACTTTTCATTAATAGAATAAGCCAAATTGCAGTGATTACAGGATCCAAGTGAAATAGATGGGGATAATCTGAACAATATAAAAAGTGAAACCAGCAGGCATTTCAGGAATAGAAAGAGGGAATATCTGAAAGACAAAATTGATGAGCTTGCACCAAAAAGTAAGAACAAGAACAAGACCTGTATAGAGGAACAATCCTAGAAGTAACTTAGTGAAGGATAAGAATTGTGATCTGTTTGCAGATTCTCACAACATTTTGAATAGGTGGAAGAACTGCTCTGTTATTGAATGGTCAGTGATGTTATGCAGATAGAAATACATACAGCTGAGCTGTTAGTACCTCATCCTAAATGTTTTGATGATGAAATTGCTACTGCAAAATTGAAAAAGGTATAAATCACCAGGTAACAATCAAATTCCAGCAGAACTTATTCAAGCAGGAGGTGAAGTACAGTAGAACTTGGTTATAACGTCATCAAAGGGACCTAAAAATAGTGTCGTTATAAACGAATGTCGTTGTAACCGAAATGGGCACTTCCACAATAGCCTTATGTTAGTCACGTAAAAATCTACCAAAAACAGAGTTAAAATGTTGCATTTTTTAGTGAAATACATAGTTAAGTACAGACTAACGTAACATTAACGTGGAATTGCCCAAATGTGTAATATCAAAGACATATTGCAGCGCTTTTCACTGACAATACACACCGCACTAATACTGTATATTAAAGGTAGGCCTACTCGCCAAATTACAGTAGATTACATCAATTGTTGTGCCTTACTGTACCTAGATACGAGTACAGTAATCAGTTATCGTCATCTGTTTCCTGTTACTTGTCCAATACACACTTTCTAAATTACGTTCAATGTTCATATCAGATAAATTCAGGAATGAAAATGACGTTACATACGAGGTTGATGCATTTGTGCATGTCGTACTAAGCAAGGTATAAAAACAGTTGCTTTATGAGGAATTAGTTTGTACCATTGAATATTTGACGCAATAGACAAGGTGTCGCAGAAACCGATGTTGCTATAACCAAGTTTTACTGTATTACTTTCTAAGATCCATAAGCTAATTCTATTTGACATAAGAAAAAATTGCCTGTCAGTGGAAGGAGTCTATTACTGTACCAGTTCACAAAATGGGTGATAAAACTGACTAGTAATTATCAGGGGATATCACTGCTATCAACTTCATACAAAATTTTATCCAGTATTCTTCTCTCAAGGTTAAGTCCACACATAGACTAAATTATTGGGAATCATCAGTGTGGATTTCGATATAACAGATCAACTACTGATCAGATCTTTTGCATTCACCAGATACTGGAGAAAAAATGGGCGTACGATGAGACAGTACATCAGCTATTCATAGACTTCAAGAAAGCCTATGATTCAGTAAGGAGGGAAGTATTGTACAATATTCTGATAGAGTTTGGGGTACTCATGAACTAGTTATGCTGGTTAAAATGTGTTTAAACAAAACATATAGTAAAGTCCGTGTAGGTAAACATTCGTCCGATAATTTTCCTGTTCAGAATGGTCTGAAACAAGAAGATGTTTTATTGCCACACTCCTTTTCAGCTTTGCTTTAGAATGTGCCATTAGGAAGATCCAGGAAAACCAGGTGGGACTGATATTAAATGGGACATATCAGCTGTTGGTCTACACTGATGATGTGAATCTACTGGGTGATAATATAGATACCATAAAGAAAAACTTGCAAACTTTAATTGACCCTAATAAGGATGTTGGTCTAGAAGTAAACACAGAGAGAACTAAGTATATGTTTCTGTCTCATCACCAAAAGGCAGGGCAAAATCATGACATGAAGATAGGTAACAGATGTCTTGATGGTACAGCTCAGATATTTGGGAACAACAATAACAAATCAAAACATGATTCAGGAACAAATTAAGAGGAGACTGAACTCAGGTAATGCTTGCTACCATTCAGTTCAGAACCTTTTGTCTTCTCGTCTGCTGTCAAAAAACATAAAAATTAGAATATACAACACTATAATTTTGCCTGTGGTTCTGTGTGGGTGTGAAACTTGGTCTCTGACACAAGGGAGGAATATAAACTGAGGGTGTTGAGGAGAATATTTGTACCAAAGAGAGATGAAGTGACAGGAGGTTGGAGAAAACTGCATAATGAGGAGCCTCATAACTTGTACTCTTCTCTAAGCATAATTAGAATGATCAAGTCAAGGAGGATGAGATGGTAAGTGCATGTAGCATGAATGGGGGTGAAGAGGAATGCATATAGGATATTGGTGGGAAAGCCAGATGGAAAGAGACCACTGGGAAGACGAAGGTGTAGGTGGGTGGCCAATATTAAAATGGATCTTAGAGAGAGAGGATGGGATGGTATGGATTGGATTGATCTGGCTCAGGATAGAGACCGGTGCAAGGCTCTTGTGAACATGGTAATAAACCTTCGGGTTCCATAAAATGCTGGGAAGTTCTTGAGTAGCTGCACAATTGGTGGCTTCTCAAGAAGGTCTCAAATTCATGAGTGAGTGAGTGAGTGAGGTTCATTAATAAATATGCTGACTAGAATGAATGACTTTTTTGAGGGAGGGAATGGATTATGAGGAAGGAAGATTTCAGAATTTGCTCCTGGTTTTTAATGACTGGAAAAGAAATACTGGTGGAGATGATTTCTATAAAATTTATAAAACATAAAAAAAACTCCTTTCTGTAAACAAAAAGCAGAAAACAGTCGAACTGCTTAAATTTTAATTATCTATAACAAACCCAAGAATGCTGTGAAGACGTGAAATATTTGCTGTGAAGCTGCAAGATCTTCTTGTAACTAAAATGTATGCGGTGAATTAAGGTTGTCAGTATGATTTGAGCCCATTCCCCTGCAAGTGCTGACTGAATGTCATTTTTCACAGTCTCATAAACTTACATGGTCTGTGAAATTTTATCAAGCAGTACTTCAAACTGTGAATTTTAAAATGAAAAGTAACAAATATATTCCTAAATATAGTATGATTACTCTCAATTTTGCAGTTTCTAAATAACATACAACTTATGAGAATTCTTCTGAACAGAGAATGAATCCACAACACAGATGTTAATTTCACTTTCACATATATTATGCCATGCAGATAACAGCACATACTCAGACTAGGAGATAAAGATTTCATAAGTGGTAGGCATAAAAGATTGTCAGAATAATTGTCCCTCATATACCTATTAAGTTTACAAGTAGTATAACAGACACAGCCCAGGTGCCGTTCATATCATTCTGCCACTATGCAGGTCTGAACAAACTAAAAGAACCATTACAATCTGGACTGGCAATGTTTATGCAGAACTTCACATTTACTATCCAAAAGAATACCGACTACTTCCACAGTATAGATACAGATTCTAATAACAGAGTTATACATAATGAAATACAAGACTCAATGGCCAAAATAAAAACATAAAGCCTAATATCTGCTAACCTTTAATTTCCGTGCAGGACAAGGATGATAAGATTGTAGGTAATTCAATGCCGAAAGACATCACGTTTAGTGAACTTGAAAGGACTGACAAGGAATCAGTCATGGACCATTTCAAGGTACTATCACAGCATCTACTTGAAAGGACTGATAAAAATCATGTAAACCCTCAGGATAATCAGTATATTGACAGATGTATGAACGAGATGTCTCTACAATACAAGAATCAGTGTTTCTTGCACCAGCTCAACTCAGGTACGTGCAGAACAAAGTCTTCTTGCAGAAGTATGTCACATTTTGAAGGTTAAATAAAGAGAATTTTTATATACAGCATTCTATAAAGATTCCCACAGTTTGCTGTTGTGTGAATTATAGTGTCAAAAAAATGATGGTGGGGCTTCAGGAGGCACTGTTTCCAAATCCACAAAAAGGCATCACAATGAACGTTGTACCTTCAAATTCTTCCACTCAAACACTTTCATGAGCATGCACCATAATTTTTCAGCAAGGTGACACACTGCCACATTTCTCAAAATGTGTTATGGAAGTTCTTAGTCTAACATTTTCTTGAAGATGGATTGGTAGGGGTGGTTCAATTCTGTGGCTACCTAGGAGCTATTATTTGACACCACTTGATTTTATCTTTTGGGCTAGGTAAATTAATTACATTTATGTGGACAAACTTTAGGACCTCAATCACTTGAAAACAAGAAGAGAAGCTGCTGAGCAAGTAACAAGAGATATGCTACATCATGTTATGGCAAGAGGTGAAATATTGATTACACATATGCAGGGTCACAAACAGTGCATGCATGAAAAATTATTGTTGGAAGCAATTTGAAGTTCACTTTAAAATAAAATATTAATTTCTTAAACATGTTTTTTTTTCTAATATTGGTTCTTGAAACCCCACCATTATATCCCCCAATCTTAAAAGAGTTCATACCACTATTTAAACAGGATTCTGAATAGAGTATATCAGTTAATGGAGGAAACCAGTGCTTGAATAGTGATACTCTACATGCTGTCCCATAAATCTGGAACCACATGCAAGACAGGTCTTCTCTCTGTCAAAGTTGTGAGTTATGGTAATGGGTAAAGGCGTGCACATAGACATGATTCTTCTGTGTGGAGGGCACAGTGAAAAGTTGCAGAAGTGTTCAACAAACATCCATAATAGTCCCAATTACAAATACCAGCACAGATAAGTTGCTGGTGAAGTTCAAGAACACAAGGTCAGTGTCAGGTAAACCACACAGCTAACTTTCATGATGCATTTCTGATGATGTGATGACAGTAGTGCTTGAAAAATTTACACTGAGCCAAAAGAAGCCTCTGCACTGCAGAACTGCAGAAATGGTAATGTCAAAATCTGGTACTCACTGCATCTTGAAGCAGAATCCTTAGAAAATGCTCTGACTGAGGATGATCCTGATAAGTGCAAGAAGTTCTCTGAATATGCATTGCACTTGGAGAAAAAAATCCTAGTTTCAAAGCAACCATACTTTTTAGTGATGAGGCCACATTATCACTTATTTGCCAGACACAATTTGAACAAACATGGATGAGCTGAATTAAAACCTACTGTAAGAAGAATTATTAAAAGTGAGAATCAGAAATGATTTTGGGAATAAAATAGATTATGATAAAATTAGATGAAGATGAAGTCGAAGGAAACTTTTGTTTCATAATCCTGGTATTTATTCACTGCATGACAACTGAAAATAAAAAGGTGATCTTCATAAATATGTGACAATCCATCTCAGTGTTTCAAGAACAACTGAAGGAGAAATAATTTCAGTATACTCCCACACATTCAAACAATCACTGCATGATATTTTAAATTTAACTGATACTCTTAGTATGTACTTGTTCTCATTATAAGAGAAAAATTTCAGTCAAACTTTTATACATATCTTATGAAAGTAAATTTTGAGTTTTATATCTAAGTTATCTATTAATTTCTTCAGACAATACAAAGTTTTCAGTTTTCTTAAATTTCTTTGTGGAAAATGGCCTTTGAGCAGTAAAATAAAATGCATTAGAAAAGAACACAATACTTCTGAATTAGCTTCAGTGTATTAGATTTTATGAAGATTATATCCTGTGATTTTACAAACATGATATGCTCAATTGCTTTGTACAATTCTTTTTGTTACAAACAAATGCCTTCAGTTTTCATTGGGTGTTATTTATGATAATTCAAAATGAATTTCTGCATAAACACAGATACACAAACTCAAACCACTCACCAAATGGGCACCAGCAGGCACAGACTTCATACATTCTGAACTAGGACAGATAAAAAAAAAATAATAACCAAATAGTAGTAACATGTTTAAGCAACAATATAAATAGATACACCTGCAGGAAAATATACATTAATCATTAATATTTCTTATTGTATATTTTATACATAAACTTGATCTGAATTTGTACTTACATCTATTTATATAATGCTGTATTAAATCTATACACATTGGGTTTGATTGGCAGAAAATATTGACAGAAGAGCCAAACCAAAAAAATTGAACTGTGAATATTCCAGATAATATATTGTACATGGCTTCCTTATAGTTGTTGTTGTTTACAGGGTCGCATACTATTCGAAGAACATGTGTTAATTACACAGCTGCAAATTTAAGAAATTCTACACTTAAACAATTCATGTAAAATACATAATGCGTCACTTAGTGAAGTGATCAGTATGTGTCAGTGAAAGTTTGATTTTCCTCAACTCAAATTTACCACAAAAATACAAATCTAAAACCTTTACATTAATATTATAAAGACTAGGCAATTTTTATTTTCAATAGTAGCTGCAAAACTACTGAAATAAATTCTATGTGCAATTACAGTATTTAACACAGGAACTGCACTTTTATGTCCTATATAAGTGTTTTAAAATATTAAATTCAAACGTTGAAAAAAATACTCATCTTGAATAGGCAGATAAGGTTTAAAATTATAGTCTTAAAATGGATGCTTTTATGTCTGCAATATTCTTGGTTCTAATTGAAACAATTTTTGCATGTTTAAATCTTAAATAGATATATATATATTACATATAGAGCCCTTTTCTTTGAACCCATGCTGATTAATTTTTAAATTAGAAAATGCAAAATTCTTGCCAAAACCTTTAATGAAAAGTGGTGTATATCTGTATAAATTTAAGATAGCAGGTATACACTAGCAACAAAAGGAAGCCTAACATTGTGATATCACTTTAAAGAACAGTCAATTTTATTCTAAGGAAGAGCACAAAAATTATTCAGTAATTTCACTCCACTAAAACTGTCTAACATTTGTGTTTATTATTTGTAATTTCTGGAAAAGGTTTGATTACACGTTAGTTTTTATGATTAACTAAAACTTCACATGTACAATGCATAATTTCAAATTAAATTTTTAAAGACTAATGTCATGACTAGTTCGTCCAATATAGCAATTATTTAAAAGAATAACTTTAGAATGTTATATCTGCACATTTAGTATCCTTTTTCAATAATTATACCTAATAATCATAATATTTATTGAGGACAGGAACAGACAAACAACAAACATTTTGCTCTGTGAGTAATGTCGACTAGCCAACATGTTATCTCAAGAATAATTTTGTAATATTGAATCATATCTAATATAGTACTGTAATAAATGTTGAACTATCATTTTGATGTAACATTGGCCATTAGAACATCAATACTTTCCATGGAAGAAAAACATTATAATATTACATTAACACAGTTCTAGGGACTGACAATGGTACAGCATGTTTCATCACCTATACAGAGGAAAGAAATGTTCTTTCAGTGTTCTAGGTTGCACCTTACAGTGTAGCATCAAATGAATAAAATACACATCCCATTCAATAACAAACTTGACAGTATTCTCAATTCAAAAATAAACTTTTTCCTTCATCTTACAACCTGGACTTATAAATTCCTCAAAGTAACTTGTAATCTAACCAAATTTTGCATACAGCAGTACTGCAGAATTGGTCTGCTGCCCAGAATTTGTCCTCATACAGCACAAAGTTTCAGGCACTGTAGTACAATTGAGTTTTAGTGCACAATTGTTCCATCACTGGAACTACTGGAACAATTCAGAATTAGCAGATCACATGCCAGTAACATGGAGGCCAAATTCAGACTTGAGTAACAACCTTCATTTAAGGAACATTTACATAATCATAATTTAATAAATATGTCAATATTAAAAACCACTGCATCTGATAATTCAGAGAGAATATGATAAGAACTAAGACACCCCAAACTACATAATGATGTACTGTTTTGTATAAAAGAATATATAGATGAAAACTGACCCACAGAATTCCTTTATTCACTTGTAAATAATTCTCTCTATGCATATAATTTCTCTTTCAATTTACAGAGAATGAGAATAAATAATAATAGGCTGTATTCTCAAGTATATTATGGTCCTGTCATTTTGCATTATGCATAACAATGTGTTCTACTTTTATATTGCAACTCTTGAGAACAATTTTGCGAAATAGAAAGGCATAAATGCATCGATTTGTGGACTTTAAAACTTTGAACATTTCAAGTACTCTAGTTAACAATTCTGTGTCCAAAATTTCAATGCTCTACTATTTCAATACTGTAGCTACTGAAGTAAAGATGTATTATAATCAATGGATAAGGCATTTGAGAATTTAGGGGCATCTGAAGTTCTCATAGAGGCCGTTATGAGTTTTATCTTAGATAAACCCACGTAATCTATTGAAAATCATCTGATACTTTGGAGGAACACGTTGCCTCCATCTTTAGGGTTGAGAAATAAACCAAGCAAGAAACCGGCATGAACCAGGAAGCAAGCAGAGCTATCTGCTTGCCGTCCATTTCAGACTGGTTTCTTGCTTGGCCTCCTTTTCAATCCTAAAGATGGAGGCAACATGTCCCTGCAAAACATTGGCTGACTTTCAGTATACTACACATCATTATAATCCCAGAAGAGAGACTCATTTTGGTTACATTCATCGCTTTCACACCAATAATTAACTGTGTCTGTTATAACAGTTTGAACTACCTCCTATGGTGATAGACATTATCTTGTTACTGTAACCATTCTGAGAAGTCTCTTACCTTTCACAAAATTAATCTAATGAAATTAACATGTAATACAGCTTCAGCAATGGTTTATTTAGACTGTTAAGTAGTGAGACCCAAGAGAAGTAGCTTCTGGTGTGATCTGTTTAGAATATGATTTGTTCTCTTAACGATAGTCCCATTTCACTTCCTAATTCGTCCTAGTATCTGACCAACACCCCGTTTCAATCTATCCATGCATAAAAAGAATACACTATTTATTCCAAACTAATTCGAGTTCTGTACTACTGGAATATCTAAATTTTCCTCAATTTGAGGGAGAGAAAGTTCAGCACCTCCTGGAATACAGCATTATTTTCCTCCAAAGAATGAAGTTCTTTTGCAGATGTGAACAATTTATGTGTAATAAATTAGTGTGCATTTAATATGGATTTATTCTCATAACTCAGTATTACTGCAGTGAGCAGACATTTAACTTTCTTATATCTGTAATGCAGTATGAATTACACGATTTCAAACGTACAGAAAAACATACCTGAAATAGGGTAAGAATGACTTGACATATCAGTGTATATTTAAGGGAAACCATAAATAATATTTCATAATTTGTCTGTCAGGCTGTCAGATCTCTAAAGAACAGCTATTTTGATAAAAAGAAATATTGTGATTCTTTATTTCTGGGATGCCATTAAGATCGATTTTCTAGTTTCATGTTTTACATTATTTACATTCCTAATACAATAATATCTTTCCACTTCTGAGTAAATAAATTGTACTATCTTTTTTACACCATGAGATTTTGAACCCAACTACAAGACAGTATTGAAGACAATGATACTACTTGATGCATCATCATCCTCTAATTTCAATATTTATCTCCTTTTTAATATGAAACCAAGACTCCCTGCATTCAATGAAAGAATTATCTGCTAGGAGCCTTGGTGTGCTTTTATCACTCTATTAAAGCTAATTCACAGAGCTGAAGCAGCTTCAGTAGAATGTGTACAGTACATCAACATTGAGTATTTACAAGTATTGACAGGTTCCTCCTATCTTAATATACAGGAGAAAGGTTGAGGGTGAGGTTGCGGATAGCGTTGGTGCGGCTTGTGCGTGAAGACTTTATAATCTGGATCACCATAGTCTTGCAGTCATGACACACATTCATTTGCAGACCCTTCAACTTCTCCTTTTTTGCCTCTGGTCTTCCAACTGTCTTTGACCGACCAAGTCTACTCCTAATGGAAAACATCAGTCAAATAAAGAAATGTTACTACCTCACTTACATACGTTGTCACGTGTGTTAGAGACTTAGATGAGGGTTGGACTGGGGAATCGATTTATTGGATATGCACCAGTCATAACTACAATTAATTATACCACTTTCAAGATTACCATAATTATTACATATAAATAAAGTCTTCTATATCTGCTTTAACTAGTGTTTACTAGGTAACAGATCTAAACAATGGCTATTCCTCTGCATAGTTTACCCCATCCGTTTCCTAGCAACAGATTTTAACACAGGAACTATAACTGTCACACTACAGATATTACTTCCCTACAGACACAAAGTCTTCAAATCACGTGTTAAGTCCTCACTGGCCGACTTCTACTTTTTCTTCACTTTGAACTTCCCATGGCTATATCCTACCAGCATCTGACTCACAACTGCCCTGAAGTAACTAGCTTTTGAATTCACTTCCCTTATAAGCACTCTGCACAGACCGAACGAAAACACAGTCTATATTGTTGATGATGACACTGTGCTGCATAGCATGGTCCGATATATGGAAATGTCTTTACAAAGTTGTTGCCTAGAAACAGATTGCATAACCCCCTTGTTCTATTGTTGCCTGGTGCAGACCACATGGAAAACACAGTTTCCACTATATTGTTGCATGTTGAGAAGTGTTTACTGAGCTGTTGCCTGGTAATGCTTCGATCAAATCTGTTATATCAGTCCAGTGACAGACTAGCTCTTTGTGATGGACCTATCTGAGTAGATGCCTTTCTACCATTTTTACCTGAGAAACGAAACAGATCCAGTTTCTGTAATGTTGTGTTCTGTTTGGAATGCTGCACAATGGTCTGAAGTCCAGAAATCTGGTAATCTTACAAAAAGTCCTCATTCAGAGCAACATATTCTGTCACAGCATCCCAAAGTTCTAGTGTGGTACACAAATCAACATTTTTTCTTGTAGTTTATTTCACAGAAGTTGACTCAAAGTATAATACAGAAGAAGTTTAAGAGATCTGTGAATAAGAACATTCTATGGGAAATTGAAAAGCATAGTTGCAAAGCTATTATTTTAGACAAAATGATCAGACTGCAGTGGTAGAGTGTTGAATTTCCAGCAATGAATTCAATTCCAATCTCCTATACAATGCCCGAAGTACTGGACCATGGTTGACAACATCAAAAATACATCCATATAAATTAATTTTTATTTTCTCCACAATAATCATGCTGAAAACAAATATACGTGGTGCAATCCAAAAGTTCCCGAAATATATTAATAAAAACTATTACATCTTACCTAGATCTTATTCTGCACCATCACCTTCAAAGTAGTCCCCTTGGGAGCACATACACCGATCCCAGCATTTCTGCCACTTTTCAAATGCATCCTGGAAGTCTTTCTTTGTTAGGGTGTTTAGTACCGTCTGTGTTTCCGCTTGAATTTCCTCAACTGTATCAAATCTTCGCCCCTTCAACTTCATTTTCATATTGGGCAAGAGAAAGAAGTCGCATGGAGCTAAGTCTGGCGAGTATGGTGGGTGGGGAACAACTGCCATCTTGTTTTTAGCCAAAAATTCCTGCATAATTTAAGCCGTATGCGGTCATGCATTGTCATGGTGGAATACCCAGTCATTCATGCACCATTTCTCTGGACGTTTTCTCCTCATGTTCTCCCTCAAACGCCTTAGAACATTGCGATAGAACTCTTTATTGACTGTCTGACCAGGAGGGACGAACTCCTTACGAACAATCCCGGCAATATTAAAAAAAAAACAGATCAACATGGACTTAATGTTGCTCTTGACTTGTCGAGCTTTTTTTGGCCGAGGTGAAGAAGGGCTCTTCCATTGCGACAATTGCTGTTTGCTTCCAGGGTCGTAGCCATAAACCCAACTTTCGTCACCAGTGACAACCTTCGAAAGAAAGTTTGGATCCTCTTGAAGCTGTTGCTGAAGTTCCATGCAGACTTCCAAGCGATGCTGCTTCTGTTCATTTTGCAGCAGTCATGGCACAAACTTCGCCGCAATCCTCCTCATGTTCAGTTCCTCTGACAAAATTCGTTGACATGTACCATAACTTAGTCCCAAGGTGTTACAGAGGTCTTGGATAGTCAGTCTACAATCTTACAGAATCAGATCCCTAACTTTCGCGACATTTTCTAGTGTTTTGCCCGTTGATGGCCGTCCCAAACGATCGTCATCATCAGTCAATGTTCGGCCATTTTTAAAACGCTTATACCAATGGTAAGTTTGTGTCTGGCCTAAACTGTTTTCACAAAAAGCTTGCTTCAACATTTGGTGTGTTTCTGCAGCGGTTTTCCCAAGTTTGAAACAAAACTTTATACAGACACACTGCTCTCTCAGGTCAGCCATCGCAAAACCGCAAACTCACGGAAACACAACAATGGAAATATGTTCACCAACAATAAACCCAACCACTCAACTCGACATCACTTGCCACACTGATTCAAGAAGGATGTGCGAGGAGACACCTAGCAGTATTTCAATGTACTCATTGTACCATTCGCACACAAAATTCAAATTTCGGAAACTTTTGGATTGCCCCACATACAATACCATCTCTCTGCAACAATTGGACAACACTGTTACTTTAGTAACATAAACAGCCACCAACCACTGGCCAAAACATTAGGGGGCTCATCCCCACAAGAAGGTCTGCATCATAAGTAATGGGAGGGAGGGAAAACCTACATTCTGCACACTGCTGAGTGCCATCTATCACACTTTGGTACATGTGAAGTTGGATCACAGGTATCTTACTATCCACCACCCATTCTGAATTATGTCACTAAATATGAAACCACCTTCTTGTTGTCTGAGTAATTCATAATAGCTAACTGAATAGTGTTTTTAGCTAAATTACCTTCTAAACATTCTCACTGGTTGTCAGCAAACTGATGATTACCAGCTAGTAGCTACAGTCCATGCTTAGATTCTCACTGATCCTCTGATACTGTTATTGTGCCTCTCTAACTGACAGACCTTAAGAATCCTGTGCTTAGCTTAACTAATATTACCAAACAGAGTGTATGCTACTTTGACTCCAAGGCTAAAAAAGTAGTCTGTTTCATGCATGCGACTTATTACTTCATCATGCTTCTTCCTCACTACATATTTTGGCCATATACAGCTATCATCAGGTATAGTTTATATTGCTAAAATTACTGCAGTGTATGTCAAAATCATATATCGCATGCAAACGTGATATTTTCTAATTAAAGTGAATTAAGCTTGGGATTAAAAGTAATTAATGTCTTAATTTTACTTCTATTGTGGTTGTCATCCATTTATTTAAAAAATATTTGCTTGAGAGTATTTCTCATTGTTGAATTTAGTTGTGCTGCATTCCACTTGAGGTATGATATTACGCGTATTATTGGTGCAGTTCGTAAGGATGTCCAGGATACATCTAGTGAAAACACTGCAGAGGAAAAGCCATTGTTGAGAGCTGTTACCGAGCAATGACTAGTGAAAGCAGACTGAGAAGACTTAATGTGCAGTGATTTGTAGTGTGGAAATCAGAAACAGTGTTATACTTATTTGCAGTTACAACCTGTAAGTGGTGAATCCATACAACATCTATAGGCACACGTACACGTGCCAACACTCATAGTTATATTTTATGTTAAATCTCTTTGCACTTCTTATCACAGGAGGGGCATCTGAAATTTATGACAATTTTTAAGGGGGAGCATAACGTATAAAAGTTTGGGAACCTCTGCTGTAGACAATGTTGAACATCTATGAGAGGGCCTTTAACGTACACGTATGTGTTAAAAGTGACATACCTCCTTTCACTTGTGGTAGTGGTAGTAGAGGCAGGGCTCATGGCAGGGAGTGACTGTGGACCCTCCATGCTGTCTGCCATACTGGAACCAACCCCAGAACATGGAGCAGATATAGATTCTGCACGAGTTAAATTAGGGCTTGAAGGTGCACTCCCCACACTATTGCGTACCATGTCTGGTACCATCAGACGTGACATCAGTGATCTCGGGAATGACTCCTTTGTCTCCTCCTCAGGTGAAGACAATCCAGGACTCAGTGCAAACACTGGTACTCGTGAAAAATGTTCTGTTGGTATTCGCATCTGAAAATAACAAGGATTAAATGTCACATACAAGGAGGAAGTTAACCCAATAATTAAAATAAACCATGAAGCCTGTATCTGTTTATAAGTTGTTGGGATGTAGCTGAGTCCCATGGCCTCCTTTACTAAGCAGCTCATTTAGTCTGTCATTCTCGTCAGTACCATGGTATCCGAGAAGTTTCAAGTGGGATTTGTGGTGGACAAATTGGCGCTGGGGTAGGTTTTCTCCAAGTACTTCGGTTTCCCCTGCCAATCTTCATTCTACCAAATTCTCCATCATCATAATCACCTGGGGCAGGTACAATAGGCCAATCAGTGGGTGCCATGCCAAGTGGACCCAACTCTACTCCAACTGTAATCCCAGATGTATATTTGGTGCTTTGCACTGATGCTGTGCCTGCCACCATCTACTCATCTGGATGGAATAGTTGTACATTTGTACATGCCAAGCAGTCAGATTAGCCATCCCTGCTATATCACCATGAAAATATTTGAACATGAGAGGACCATAGAAACACGTTATAAGGAAAGGCTGAAGGCAGCTAGCATAATGGAGTGTCCAGGTTAAGCAACATGGATTGTGATGATTGGCACCTGACTCCACCCACTGTCCCCCAGTGGTCCACACTGGAACCGAAGGACACCGACTGCCAAGCTCTATTCACTTTTCCCTCTATGGTCTATGCTGGGACAATCAAGACAATATTCTGCAAGTACAGATATAATGTGTAGCCACATCTCTCATCACATCAGTGCCTGATGACGGAGATATACGCAGGCTCTGAAACGGATATCAACTCCCACTGAAGACTGCCCAAGATTACTTCACTGCACAGTCACTGTGAAAGCTTCAACTCATGTGTAACATAAAATTTATTTAATAATATGTTCAATAGCTCAAATTATATTGCAAGTTACTGTAGTTTACTATCCCTTGTCACTTTTCTTTATTGATAGCACAAACTTACAGACTGCTTTAAAGTCTTACCTTAGAGTAACACTTGGCACACACAGTTCTCTTGCAGAGTTTGCACAGTTGACCCCAAGGGCCAAATAATCCGAATCTTGTCTTTAAACACAAGAAGCAAACCTGAAAATATAAACATATATTCTTATGAACAACCTCTGAAAACTAGGTTTTAAAATAACCAAAATATATTATATGTTATGAATACAAGATTTCTGTTGGATATTTAGTTTAAACGTTCAGACTTCAAAAACATGACTAACAGAAAATGTCAATGTTTAAAAACAAATATGTTTTGTTAAAGGAAAATTCTCTGAGAATGTTTTTCGTTCCATAAAAATATACAGTACATCCTCCAAAAAAAATCCAAAATGTCTCACCTTTCGTTTTTCAACATCTTCTTTGACATGGCCTTCCACAGGAAGGCTTTCCAATTCAGCCTTTGTTAGCACACTACGAATATGAACAATTTCCTCCAGAGTGAGTGACAGGCATTCCATCGCTTGCTGCCAGTTCTTCTGCAAATTTATAAATGTGTCAGAATGTTTGCATCAAATGAAATGTTGGCACTGTGTGAAATTTGAGACAACAGCAGGATACAACCTAACATTCAAAGGTTCATTTCAATATTATTCTTCCATTTATCACTATGTCTCCAAAGTAATTTCTTCATTTTGTGTCTCCTTATCAATATTTAATAAGCCTCTTATGTTTCTCCAATGCTAAGGTCCAATTTTGTCCTTCATTATTTAAGTAGCCTAACAATATTAGATGAACATTATTTTTTCCTTCAATTTGTTTCAAGAATGTTATACTTCTTTGTTTTCAAGATATATTTGACAACGTGTGTGAAACTGACCCACATGATATGGTTTCTTGTTCATTTGATTATGGTGAACATTGTTATAAACCTTCCTGATCTCTGTGTGCCAAGTGAAGTGAAGGAATCATCTCTCATGAGGTGGATTCTCCTAGGTACTCCCAATTACATTATAGTGACAGGGATACAGGCTTTGATCCATGCACAGAAAAATCTGCATCTGATTAGTGATAAAATCTAGAACCCTATAATTTGAAAGTTTAAGAATGAAATGAGATTAGATAAATAGAAGAACAGAGCTGAAACTTCAAATGGTGGGTGGGGGGTTAAAACTTAGAAGAGACGATGCTGGCGGAAGAGAAAAATGACAGAAACTTAACAAACTGAAAATCTGTAACAGCACTACCAAACCCACATACTTACTGACTGCAGAAGTTCATCCTGCAAGGAACTACGTGACCAGGACATTTCTGGCAAAGTGCAACCCAAGTTTCCAGAGTCCGTTTCTGAGCTGGCTGAGGAAAGAGTAGGACCACGTGACTGTGGTCTTGAATGTGGTAAGGACTGGCTTCCACTTTCACCATTACAAACCACTATGGTGTGCCTCTTCATTGAAGCTCTCCTACTAGGGCACTGTGTTGCCAGGTCATATGCTAAAAACAAAGAAACACATATAGTAAAACCGTAATGGTATTATACCAATAGAGGTGCTTAATTTTTGCATCATTTGTGACACTGTAAAATACTGTATAATTCACTAGAAGTTTCCAACAGTGACTGGTCCATGATATTGCAGTTGCATTGGCCAATATCGACTGTCTAAGGCTTACTTAATGTATATGATATTTCAGTGGGTGGTTCCCCTTTGTTCTACATGTAGATTTGAAGATAATACTTAAATGTGTCTTAAAGGAATAGGGTGGGAGGATGTCAACTGGATTTTTTTTTTTCTCTTTGATAGAGACAGTGTCTGGCTCTTGTGAACACAATAAGGAATACTCATTTTCCATAAGGCATGGAATTTGACTAGCTCACAAATTTTATCTTCTCAAAGAGGGCTGTGGTCCGTGGAGTGACTGAATGAGTTAGTCAAGTCTTCAGGAGACGGGTTGTCATTACAGTAATACATATTAGTTAGAATACAGGTTTAGCATTTAAAGGATTCTGGGTTGTCCTAATTGCTACGTTTAATACTGAAAATATAAAACCAGTGCTTCACATATCAGTATAATTAAAACAAATATATTGAAAGCCAAAGTACAGCCAATTCCAAAAACATTCTTTACGTTAAACATACCTCCATATATAATTGCAGTGTAAAGTGTAGAAAGGCATCCATATTTATCCTTCATTCATAATTATATGTTCAACCAATATGTCTAAAGAGAGGTCAAGACGTTTTTATTTACATATTTCAGGACAGAGATATCGCACTGCATTTTTAAGTTAATAACTGTATTTCTGAATTATTTTCATACACTCTTTATAAGGTGGCATGTCTCTTAAGTTTAGCGCACTTCAGTTTTCTGTATTCAGCACACTTCAATATACAGTATGCTCAGTTACTGTCCTTGCATTTTCTGTTTCAATTTCCCTTTGACTGAATCAGTCTCTAACGTTAATATCAAAGCAACAGAAAGTTTCACACTTATGTAACAGATGCATAAAAAGTCAATCCCTCCTATACTTTAAATGGATCTCCTCTCTTACCCTCCCTTGTTACATATTCTGTAAGCCTAATTAGGAATGTTTCAGAATCAGAATCAGAATTAAAATCTGATGCTTGCTGACACTGGCTAGACAACTTGAGTTAGGTGCCAACACCAAAGTTAAAAATCATGTGGATATATACAGGACCACTGTCATCACACAGACATAATTTATGTTCCATCTTCCTCCTATCTTCTGAAAAGAAAAAGCTCCTGTTTCCATATAGGACTGGATATACTTGTACCTTAGAAAATGTATGTTTTCAAACAGTCGGATTCTTTACCAGAGAATGTATGTTTACATTCTCCTACACTGCAAACTACTAATGCTCAAACAAATTTTTATTATAACTGGTGTTCTCTTTCCATCAGTCATACCAGTTTTGGCAAGGCTGCTGTTAGCAGGTCATTAGCCCGAAGACTTATGCTGTGCAATGAATGAATCCAGCAATTAACTGGCAGTGTGACTCAAAGGATTTTATGCTGTGAAAGAGAATAACAATGTTGTTTTACAAAACTGCTTCTTACATATCACAATATAAATTTAGTTCAGGTACCTTTCTAACCATAAAGAACGATTCAAAATATAGATGTAAAAGGTAAAGCATAAGTACCATGCCACAAAAATGCAGAAGGGCATGGAGGTAAGGCTGATCCATTCTTAACCTTAAAATTAAATGGGAGATCAAATTCATGCATTACACATGAAGAAAGAATTCCCATTACCCATTAGAGAGGAAAATGGGAAGGCTCCAGATCCATTCCAAACATGGTGATGAAGAAAAAATCCCAGCACCACCATAGACAAATGAATCCTAGCTATTAAGTGCAGAGCTTAGTACTTCATTGAGTGAACAATGCCAATTCCAAAATAAATATGATTAAAAAATAATTCAAATTCAATTTAAAGTTAAGATGTGTTGCAGTGTTTACTGTAGCCTTGTAAAACCCTGCATAAGTAAATGTTTTTGTGTTCACATGTAAATATCTTCACACAACATTAGTTGGAAAACCCATAAGCAGATTACTAATATTTTTACAACAATGTCTTTTCTTTCAAAAGTAAGAGATAAACAAGTCCATAATAGATGTCTGTCCTAGTACCAAATAATCACTACATTAACTCGGTAGTCCAAATTCTAATACATTTTGTTTAAAAATATTAGTTTGGGTTTCCCCATCATCCAAATTTATAAAAAATGTTTTGGAAATTGGTTCCATTCCGTGTTTAGGTGTACAGAATGTGAAAGAAAATCAGCTCTGTTGAGCCCCTCAGTGGGGCTATTCTCAAACCTCACAACTGTTCTTATAAAGATATGCTTGTCTGTACAACATTTGTTTTAAGAACATTCTGGTATAATATGCTTAAAGCCTGTTTCCTCATAATCAGCAAATTAACAATAATCAGTTATATATTTGAGGATAAGACATCCTGGGTGTTTCTAGATTCTTATGCCTGTATTCTTAACCAGCAGTTATTGCATCCAAACCTGCAGAATTATTATGGCATACTCATATTCAGCTCAATGATGTATATCCACCTGATTCTATTTTCTTTTTGGATTGGCNATAAATTAAAAAAAAAAAAAAAAAAAAAAAAAGCATGTGTATCACCATGTAATAAATTCACCAATAACTCTCATGTGACATATTCCTAAATACTTGCATTTTGAAGCAAACTTCATAATTACTACAGAAGGACTCACTGTTTTAAATGTGACTGCCAGTGCCTTCTTTTGAACTGTTTTAAAAATTGTTAGTCATTTTAAAATTCTCATGAAGAGAACTGCTGTGGCTGAGCACAATACCACTAGGCACATACAGCAAGTGGAGGTGCATATAAATACACTTTCCACCTTGACACTAGACTGAAACAAGGGATCAGCTTCATGTTCTGGCCATTTTAACCTGTTCGAAAGAGGATCTGGTGATGGATAAGATGGGTGGGCTTCACAGCCAGTATGATAAATGTGGTGAAGATAAAAATCCATGCCCCTCTCATGACTCAGACCCAGCTATCAAGCCTATAACCTGTCAATTCCCTGACCAGTTATGGTGACTCATATGCTCCTTGCCTTATGACTATAATATTTAATAGTAATAACTGTTTTTTAAATCTGTAAGCACTTCAAAAGAGAACATTTACCAACAAATGCCAGGTAGCCAAATGTGTCTCCATGGAAAGTAATGGATTTTCATCGTGATTTGATGCTTTCAAGCTTACCTGACTTAAAGGTAGCAGAACCTAAAGGCTCAAAACTGCTAATACGATAGCCCACAACTAGAAAACTGTATGCATTACCTGTCTCCCCTATTACCCTTTCCTATTAGCAAAGAACAATATGACACCTATACATTTCAAATATAAGGTAGTATTTTCACTTAAAATATTTTATTGGTGCACTTATACGTGTTTTCTGCCACATAAATTAAACTTTTATCTAACAAGATACTACCATAATTCCATAACTCTTTGTGGGAAATTGATCATGACAAAAATCGACATTGTAACATTCTTTATACTTATTCACAGAAAAGCAACCTATTCTATAGCATACAGCAGGTCTCTCTTCATTCGCAACAAATTTAACACACTGTTCTCCACATAAAAGATTTGTTCTACATCATGATGTGTCTTTCTCCACATAGCAGTACGTTTCATCCATAATACATAGTGTGCTCCTCCATAGAACAAAACAGCTCCATCCATAATACACAGCGTGCTCCTCCACACAGCAGAACTGCTCCATCCACATACACAGTGTGCTCCTCCACACAGCAGAACTGTTCCATCCACATACACAGTGTGCTCCTCCTTACAGCAGAACTGTTTCATCCACATACACAGCGTGCTCCTCCACACAGCAGAACTGCTCCATCCACATACACAGTGTGCTCCTCCACACAGCAAAACTGTTCCATCCACATACACAGTGTGCTCCTCCTCACAGCAGAACTGTTTCATCCACATACACAGTGTGCTCCTCCTCATAGCAGAACTGTTTCATCCCCATACACAGTGTGCTCCTCCATACAGCAGAACTGTTTCATCCACATACACAGTGTGCTTCTTCATGCAGCAGAACTGCTCCATCCACATACACAGTGTGCTCCTCCTCACAGCAGAACTGTTTCATCCACATACACAGTGTGCTTCTTCATGCAGCAGAACTGCTCCATCCACATACACAGTGTGCTTCTTCATGCAGCAGAGCTGCTGTATCCAGTACACACATCTGTTCTCCATATCAGAACTGTTTTATCCATTAACACACAGTATGTCTTTTTAACATAGAAGAGCTGTTCCATTTCTGAACACACAGTGTGCTTGTCCACATACAAGATCTGTTCCTTCTGCAACACTTAGTGTGCTTCTCCACACAAAAGAAAAATTTAAGAACAACAAACCACACAGATTGCTTTTCTGTAAAAGAAAATTTTCTAGTCATTAACATGCACTGTGCTTCTCCACACAGAACTGTTCTGTCCACAACACACCGCACAGCATGCATTTCTGTACAGAAGAACTGTTTCATTCATTACACATAATGTACTGTACTTCTTCACACAGCAAATTTCTTCCATCCATTACACATATAGCCCTTCTTCACTGGGAGTTGTTTTTTATGCAGCAAGACTCTTCATCTATAAGAGCCAACTGCTTAAACTTCTTAAATAACAGTAGTGGAATTACATTTTATTGACTTTCAATGAAATACTTATCAACCTGCCTGCTTTGAATACTTTCAAATTTTATACATCATCTTAAGTATTTCAGTTTACTGGTCATTGCAACAGAGATGCAATCTTATATGTTAACAGCAAGCTCACAAATTCCCTCTGAGAGTTTGTACATCAACTACTGAACAATCTGCAACCCTCTCAGCTTTCCATTTTTAAGCGCAGGTTTAAATTATAACTATAAACATAGTATTGGATTTATT